ATATATTTATTTATTTATTTTTTGAAAAGGGTTTCATTTGACTATAGCCGTGATGCAAATATCATAATTGCTCCAATTCTGTCCTAAGTACTGCAGGTCCTCTATAACATTATTACAACCTAACTAGTGAGACCCTACATGTTTTTAAAACCCAGTGTAAAGCAATAATATACAGTACATACTGAACATGGTCTTTTTGGTTTGGTTTCCTTAATCCACTCTTCATCTGATTTGGATCCAAAAGTGAGTGTTCCCAAATTGAGTTTGCCCCATTTGTTACAAGCTGTCGTACCATCTAGAGAACAAAATGAAAGTCAGAATGAAAAAGTCTACAATGCATACCATTTCTGAAATGTGTATACCTGTCAACCACTGGGAAAGTGATATTTTGTAACACAAGATGTCATCATATCTAAAGACCTACCTGCGATATAACTCACACTAGATTTTGCTGAGAAGTAACTCCAGTTACATTGTGGTATTGAAAAAAGGTTACAATGTAGGTCCTTAATTACTGCCTATGCACTGAAGATGAGCAATGTGAAATTCATCAAAAATCCTCAAACTCTACCGGAGCTTAGGCCCAGTTAAACCTTTTTCAGAAAAAATGCTTTGTGATTTGAAGAGAACACAACAAGAACTTTACAAGAATTATAAAATTATGTATCTTAAGCATGGCAATGTGAACTTACAGTTGAAAGGTTGAAGCCCTGCATAAATCTTGTTTTTTAGATCTGTTCTCACCCAAGTGGCAAGAGAGGATGAGGTCAGAGACATATCTCTATGACCTATGAAAACTTCAAAATCTATTAAAGCTTTACACCACACTGGGAAGTTAAATTCATTTCTAGCTCCTATGGTAATTAAATCAATAATGTAGATATTCTGCACCAGGGTGGTTTCTGGCAATCAAGTTCTAAAAAAAGTAAAACATTTGCATCTGTTTCTCAAAACAAAGAAGTGTAAATGTTCAGTATACCATTCAAGATCTGAGCTCAATTGATTAAGCAGCACACACAAACAAGAATCAACAACAAATTACACCCAACTTCAGTTTTGACCTGCTTTTAAAACATTTTAATTTTTTTCCTTATAGCAAATAACACTAAAATGGTCTTGTTTGTAATTTTTTCATCTTTTGCCCTTGCTTTGTCCAATCAATAAGAGGCTCAGATAAAGCTTTTTTTGTAAACTTAAGGTTTAAATACTAGATTAGGGTAACTAAAGATAGTTATGCTGTGGCAAATTCTGTTGATAGTGACATAGTTTAAGCATGTAGTGTCAAATCACAGAGTGTTTCCAAAACTCAAATGATATTCTGTCCAAGTAATGGATTGCAGGGGTTTAGCTAGTTCATTGACTACATACCAA